AATCCTACTTCCGGGCCTAAAGTAGTCTGCGTTTAATATGGCTTTTGTGTTGTTAACATGTTTAATGTTTTGTATTTTCTTCTATTTAATCTCAAAAATCACTGTTGACCTCCCTCGGCTTTTATTACCGCTGATCATTTATTTAAGCTCAGTTTTTAAAACCTTAGGATGGAACTACAGCCCAGCCCATGCAGCAGTATATGAATGACTAACCTCGTATTGTGGATGGATTATCTCAGTTGTTCTCCTGGCTGAAGTTTGGTCCTTTTACAGCATCCTGCCATGCCATGACATTTGTTCCTGACCACCGAGAACACTCACGTTAACTTTTATCGAGTGGAAAAAAGTTAGCTTGTTTATATTATGCTGGATGTTAAACTCAATTGTTACACCTGGTAGAGCAGAATGCTGATCATTTTATTAAAGATGAAAGACTTTAGACAGTTTTTCAACTCTCAGTAATGCCATAGTGATCGTTTGATGTATGGACCTGCAGCGGAGTTTAGGCCCAGACACGGCTAGTGACATATGTTAAAAAAACAAAAATGATTTTTTGCAATTTATGTAATTACTATGCACTTAATGCAGACATATTATTAAAATGTGGGTTATAATGGTTGTATTGATGGATATCAACTTGAAATGCTCCCAAAAATGGCACTACAACATGTAAAAATATAATATAAGCTCTGGCGGACTTGGTTCTATGGTAGGTCTTAAAGGGTTAAGGAACAAAATTGATGGAATAATGAATGCAAAAAATTGAAGTTAGATTTCCATGCACAATAAAAGGCTAATACCTGGAAAGTATCTAATTAGCAATTGAATCATGTTTCATCATGCCAGTTATCTCAAACACGCTGCCGATAAAATCAAAGCATACGTGGATAGAAAAATACACAATGAAACGCTATCAGTCATGGATTGGTCTACCCAGAGCTCAGACCTTAACATTATTGAGGTACTCTGGAAAAGAAAGCCGACATTTAAAGAAAAACTTTGGAATATCTTCAAGACATCTAGAGAAGTATTACTGCAGACTTCTTAAAGAACTCAAAAGAAAACTTGCCTAAGAGTTTTCAGGTTATGTTGAAGAAGGACAAGTTATTTTGTTGTATCATAACTTTTACAACATCTAGAAGAAGACGCAAACTCACCCTCACATGAGAGGAAATTGGTTTGGATTTTGAGGAGCAACCCAGGACCTACCAAGACTAAAGGAAACTGCTGAAACAGCAGTGTCACTGTCAACAGTGAAGGGAGTTTCACATTACCATGGACTAAAGAAGTTTCTGACACTTTCAAACTGAGACTAGCCACAATGACAAAAGGCATGTTTGGAAGAGTAAAGGTGAGGCTTTCAAACCTAAGAGCACTCTACCAACTGTCAAGCGCTGTGGTAGTAGTAGCATCATGCTGTGAGGCTGGTCAGTGACACCAGTACGTTCCACAATGAGGATGGAATGATGTATTTAGAGTTCAAATTAAAAGTCATAAATTACCTTAACATTCATGGCCGTGATGAGTGTATGTCAAGTTCTGACCACAATTTAATTTCCCATTTACCTACCAAAAGATAAAGAAATAAGGGTTGGTTCAAGAATTTTGCACAAGATGTATATTGGTCTTTTGCAACCTTAATAGGAACTACGAGAAGTAACTTAAAGTTCAATCTGTCTCACTCCTGCTAGTTAGTTATGGGAACCCTGTTGCGTATAATTTATGTGTAATGCAAAAGTATCTGTAAGGAAGTTCACTGCCTGAAGTAGATTGCCTAAAATTCTATGAAATATAGAGTTAACTGAAGAGGGCAAGGACAAACTATAGCACCACCCCAAAAGTTAGCACAATAGTTTTACATCACTAAATGGATATTCTAATTCATTTTAGTGTGCGACATCACCAAATGGTGTACATTCAGATCATATAAGAATAAAAGAAATACCTTTAATATACATATTAATATAATTTTAAGGTGCAAGGTAAGCACTCCATAAATGTACGGAGATAACTGATGGGATATGGAGGGTGTATAATAAAGGCCAACTTAGATAATTACAAGGTAGGAATCCAAACTATTGCAGCTTTTTACTGCAGGTGTCTTTGTGAAGGCTCTGGGGTGTGCATATCTGTGTGTGTGTGTGTGTGTGTGTGTGTGTGTGTGTGTGTGTGTGTGTGTGTGTGTGT